ATAGTAGGATCGGTATTATAAGGATCCCAAAATAAGGTACCCCTTCCTTTCGGAAAGTCCCATATCCTCCACCCTTTCACCTCGGGGCATCGTCAGGTGCGAGGCGCGGGAGAAGACCTCGCATGTCTTCTCGGCCCGAGCCCCGCTTGAGCGGTTCACAGTGCTTTTGACCCGTTCAAGGGACTAAAGGAGAGAACCTTTAAACTCTTGGGGTTCTTTAGGGGCTTTATGAGACTATAGAAGGGGTATGGGTCCCTCCTATTGCCCCTTAACTTGGGGTATACTGTTGTTTCTCATGGTCTTCGCTAGTGCAGTATAGTTAGTACGGTTGCTAACTGCAGAAGATGTTGTCATTATACTTCGCATTTACCATCATGATCCATGTAGTATTCTTCGTACTGTCACGGTTATTGTCAGATGCCTACACTCTCCCTTTTTGCGATTACGTTCTTGCCATTGACGTTTGGCTTGATCACTGTCCGCTTTCTATTGTTACCATAAAATAAGGAGTTGCTGCTGGATCACAATGCCCGCCACCACTATCACTACAGTACGCTCATTCCGGCTCTGGCTAAACCCTAAACCCCTAAACCCCTAAACCCCTAAACCCCTAAACCCCTAAACCCCTAAACCCTAAACGCCCTAAATGTCGAAGCACTCGAATCCCAGGGCAGGCATGGGATTCAGGGTTTAGGGTTCAAGGCTCGTAGGGTCTAGGGTCAAGGCAGGGTTGAGGGCCCTCAATCCTAAACCCTAAACCCTAGACCCTGAACCCTAAACCCCAAGCCCTAGACCCTAAACCCGAAACCCCAACCCCAAACCCTAATCCTAAACCCTAAACCCTAAACCCCAAGCCCTGGACCCTAAGCCCTAACGCTAATGGATTTAGGATTAAGGATTGACGGCCTGCGTTGAGGTATAACATAGTAGAGTAGTATAACATAGTATGATTCCAATTCTAAGGGCCCCAAAACGTTATAGGGGGATTCTGACCGACATAGGGGACCCCAAGTGTGACTTTCATCGCGGCACTCTCCCCTTCCGCAAGCCTAGCACCCCAAACCTAGACTTCTTAAGCCTAAGCCCTCACAGAGCTCCTTGCCTAACCCACCCAGCGGGCTGACTAGCAGGGGTGGTTTTGAGTTCTCACTCGATGTTTTCGGGATATTGCGTTTCTTGGTTCAGGGAAAAAGGGTTTCAGGAAGATGATGTTCAGGTTTTTCCAGACACATCAGTGCCGCGCCACAGCACCGGCATGTGATAGGAGCGCGCGCTCAGCAGCTACACGATGCTTGCAAATAATTAAGTTCTTTGGCAGGGAGCCCAACCGATAAAAACTTTCTAGACCACTGCTTCGACAAGTTAGAACCCTAAACCCTACACCCGAAACCGCTTTGCCCTTTTGAAGACTTGGGCTCGCGTGGCCTAGCCTTGCACAAGAGGGCGGTTGGCCACAGGCGGTTGCTGAAAACGAAGGCCCGACAAGAGCGCCGTCATCCCTCCCCCCCGCTAGACCCTAAACCCTAAACCCTAAACCCTACAGCCTAAAGCCTAAACCCTAAACCCAAAACCCCTAGCAACCAAACAGGCAAGCCTCAAAAAAGGCACCAGAGTAGAGCGCAGAAACGCGCTACGCGTTTCTGCGGACGTTTCAGCGGGGAGAAGCAAACATAGGAATGACGCAATCATGTTCCGTTGATTGTCAAATGTATCGAACATGTCGTGTATGCCACGTTTTCCTGCAAGGCGGGAATGATCTTCAACAGCCCTGCTTCAACATCTCTCCTAAAACAATCCAAACTCGTCCCGGTTCCTGAACCCTCTTGCAGGGTTTAGGGCACCCTAAATCCTAAACCCTAAACTCTAGTTTAGGGTTCAGGGTTTAAGCATGTTTAAGCCGTAAGTTACCCAGATAGGGAAGCCGTCGTTTTCAGAGCCTCCCAGGTGAAGAATCACTCCAACATGACCGCCACCTTCGAGGCCCTTGTCGTGCTCGGGTTGGGGATTTCAGGTTTCTTTGGTTGAGTTTAGATCTAGGGCTTTAGGGTTTAGGGTTTAGGGCTTTATGGGGTTTCGAGTTGAGGGTTTACCCTCTTTGTTTAGGGTTCCAGGTTTTCGTTTCAGGGCTCCCTGCCACGCAGCTTGGGGCGAAGGGCTGCCGAAGGAAGAAGAAGGCGCTTGCGATCGCACGGATTTGGATCAGAACGAAAGCCAAACTCGTGACCTTGTCAACTTAAGCCCTCAACCCTAAACCCTAAACCCTAAGCCCTAAGCCCCAAGCCCTAAACCCTAAGCCCTCAACCCTAAACCCTAAGCCCTAAGCCCTAAACTCTGCAATAAGCTCTGGGCCCTAAACCCTCGGTTTAAGCTCTGCGGCCCTCAGGGCGCGGCGTCCTGCACCCCAAAACCCTCAGCGATACGTCTGCAATGCCTAGCGCCCTAAACCTCCAACCCCCCTAAACCCCAAACCCTAAACCTTAAACCCTCAGCCCCAAACCCGAAACCTTAAACCCTAGACCNNCCCCCCCCCCCCCCCCCAAAGTCAGAAGCTCCGAAGGCTCCAGGCCCTCAGTCACAGACCTGGTGTAGCTGCGCAGGAACCCTAAGGAGCCTTTTAATTAAAGGACCCTAAGGAGCTTTTTAAAGGAACTCCTAAGGAGCTTTTTAAGGAACCGTAAGGAGCCTTTTGATTAAAGGAACCCTAAGGAGGAGCTTTTTAAGGAACCTGAAGGAGCCTTCTTCAAAAGGAACCCCAAGGAGCCTTTTAAAGGAACTCCTAATAAGGAGCCTTTTTTAAAGGAGCCCCAAGGAGCCTTGTTTAAAGGAGCCCTGAGGAGCCTTTTTAAAGGAACCCCGAAAAGCCTTTTAATTAAAGGAACCCTAAGGAGCTTTTTAAGGAACGTGAAGGAGCCTTTTTTAAGGAACCCCAAGGAGCCTTTTCAGGAACCCTAAGGAGCCTTTTAAGGAACCTCAAGGAGCCTTTTAAGGAACCCCGAAACGCTTTTTAAGGAACCCTAAGGAGCCTTTTTAAGGAACCCCCAAGGAGCCTTTTAAGGAAACCCCTAAGGAGCCTGTTAAGGAACCCTAATAAGAAGCTTTTGAAGGAACCCTGATAAGGAGCCGTTTACGGACCCCTATAGGGAGCCTTTTACGGACCCCTCAGGAGCCTTTTAAGGAACCCGAAACCCTCGACCCACGGGTCCGCAGGTCGAGAGTGATCTGGTCCACATCTCGGGCCCGTCTTCGATTCAGGTCTGCCGACTCCTTGAAACATTCGGGGTTCAGGGTTGATACTGTTGGTGATATAAATCCTGCATTACCTTAAGGACCCTAAACTATGGGAATTATAGTACATTCCTTATTATGGCTAATGCAGGATTTATATCATCAACCGTAGGGTTTAGGGCTTAGCGTTCAAGGCTTAAACAGGGTTCTAAGAAGAGTTCTCATAAGTATTCCCACCGGGGGTTATGATCAATCAGGCGTCTTCCTAAACTCTTAAATCAAAGCCCCAAAACCCCTAAACCCCTACCCTAAACCCTACACCCCAAAAGGGACCCCAATTTAACCCCCCCCCCCAAAAAAAAAAAAGAAAAAAAAAGCGCTAAACCGGAATCAGGTGGATGGCCGTGGCACTGGAGAGTACGAGTTGGTCTTCCAGCCGCTGCAGGCGGGCCAGGTCACAGGCCGGGCTTGCAGGGAGGTCTTGCAGTTTTCGGGGTTTAGGGGTTTAGGGGTTTAGGGGTTCAGGGGTTTAGGGGTTTAGGGGTTTAGGGGTTTAGGGTTAAGGGGTTTAGGGGTTTTGGGGTTTAAGGGCTTAGGGTTTAGGGGGTTTTGGGGTTTAGGGCTCAGGATCCTAAGGAATAGCAACCCCTATTAGTGTTTTGACAAGTGTGCGACAGGGGGTTGTAAGAAGGGTTTACGGGTTGGGGGCTTATAGTTTCGAGTCAAGGGGTTTGGTAAAGGCTTTATGGCGGAAGACACTAAGGCCCTTAAGCCTTAAAGCCCTAGAACCTAAACCCTAAAGCCCCACTACAATTTAAAACAAAAAACCCCTAGACCCTAATACCCTAAAGCCCTAAAGTCTTGGTGTTGAGGGCTTAGCGTTCAGGGTTTCTGGGGTTAGGGGGTTAGTGATTCAGGCCTTCGAGTCCTGAGGGTTTCGGGTCTTCGCCGCCAGGTTTAGGGTGTAAAGTTTAGGGTTTAGGGTTTAAAGTTTAGGGATTAGGGTCTAGGGTCAGGTTTGAAAGGTTGTTATACGATATATTAGATTGTACATTGTACGCTTTTCAGTTATATTATATCATACATGATATTGTAAATGTAAATATACGGCATAAGGTAAGGTAGCTATGATGTATGAAAAATTCGGGATATTACATGTAATGTATTATTGGGGCCCTGAGCCCTAAACCCTGCACCCTAAACCGTCCAGGAGACATTTGGAGCTTAATTGTTGGGGTCTCACGCTCTTGTTCATGCGCTACTGCGGGGCCCCCTCTTGGCCTACCCTAGGTTTACGGTTTAGGCCCTAGGGTTTAGGCTTTAGGGCAACGTGCGACCTGATAGCTTTAGTACTGACCCGACTAATTTCCACATGAATTCCATGTTCAATCAGCTTAAATGGAAAAGACAAGTTCAGATGACCTCAGCTCAGTGTGTTGACAAGGCTGCATCATGTTCCGGGACACTCACACCGGGCACTTCACGTGGTACACTGCCTCTTGTCAGCACCTGTGGCTCCAGTTTGTGTGAGCATGACACAGCATCAGCTACTCTCAGGTCGAGCTCATGACGCTGCCTCCGAAGCCGCAGCAACAGCTTACTTTGACATGTGTGGTTCGACAGGCTCCGTGCAACAGTTTGCACTGACATCGGTTAAAGGGCCTTCAGCAAGGGTTTCAGCCGTTGCAGGCAGTGGCTGTTGACATCCAGCTGGTGAATCCTCTTGATGATGTTGTGGTCTTCGAGGCGGGAGCCTTGTTGTCAAGTTGCTACATCAAGAAACTCAAGACTACCACAAACACCACCAGTGGCCACCCCCACAGCCCCTTCAATATCTACAATATTGGAGCTATGTTATTTTGCCTTGGATGGATATTTGGCACTGCAGTTTGAAATGTCTTGCTCAATGTGGAGCACGGTGATCCTTTCAGGTGGCCCTGAACGGCGATGGCCTCCTTGGCGAGGTGCACTGTTGATGTCGGTTGCGAAGAGCGCAAAGTCACAATAGTCTATATTGCAGTATAATGCAGTATAACATAGTAATAATACAACATATAGTCGTATAATATAGTATGATATAGTATCGCATATTTATGATATAGTTTCAATATAGCATGATAAACTGAAGCACAGTGTAACGGCAGAACATAGTATATTGGTAGTTCTCTACATTAGGGTCCTTTTTAGGTCCCCAATATAGTACGGCACCTTGAAAAGCAGACCCCCAAAAGGGACCCTTATGTAGAGAACTACCCCTTTGCTCCTGTTGAAGGGTTTCGAGTCTTGAGCTTCGTGTTTCGGCTTTGTCGTCCCGGCTTCTTGCATCGATGTTCCCACACTCTAAACCCCTATAGACCCTAAACCCTAAACCCCCCGAAACCCCTAAACCCCTATAGTCCCTAAACCCTAAACCCTAAACCTTATAAGCCCTAAATCCTAAACCCTGAGCCCCAAGTCCGAACCCCCCTGACCCCTAAACCCCTAAAAGTCTAGTGCACTTAATTAAAAAAAACCCCAAATCCAAAATCTTACATCCTCCTAAAGCCTAAACCTTCAGCTTTCCATCGCAAGGCAGAGTTTGTTTTGGCCCCCAAAGAGACGGCGACCTACGAGCTGGTCCGATGCTCGGTGACACGCGGAGCGGAGAACACGGCTGGGGTTTTAGAGTTCAGGGCCCTACACCCAAAGCTCTTAAAACTAAACCTAAACCCTAAACCCCTCAACCCTAAACCCTCAAGCCCCTAAACCCCTAAACCCCTCAACCCCTAAACCCCAAGCCCCACTCCCGAGGACCTAAACCCTCAGGCGCATGGCACTGAGGCCTAATCCCGAAGGCCTACCGTTATCCGAAGCACACTGAAGGATCCGATGTAGAGGTCTGATCGATGTGCCAGAATATTCCCCCTAGACTCTGTTAAGATAGTTATCCCCCGGAACCTTAATCAATACAACCTAAAGCCTAAACCCCAAACCCGAATATGATAGATTTACCCTCACAGTTCACGCTCAACTTGCCGAGGTCTTTAGCCCGCTGCTTCCAGCAAGAACGAAGGGTACCGCTGTCTTCTTCAACGAGGTGGTAGGCTGGGGCGGTCCGCCTTTTGCTGCTGTACAGTAGTATCAACAGTGCACGCCGCTGACCCTGCTCGTGATGCCCAGCCATCGTTCTATTCGTCTATGAACTTTGGGCGTGACGCCGGGCAGTGCCAAAACGTTCGCTGTTGATCGCTGTAGCATGCGTGCTTAACACATTTTGGCTTTTCGGTTGCTGCTTTGCGAAAGGTGGATGTCGTTTCGCATAGCCGCATAGCCTCGGTTGCTCAGCAGCAACAGGAAGAGTGGATTCGGCGCTGGACTGTTTCAAGCCGCGACGCGCATGTATCAGACTGCGTTCTAATTTCTGTTGAAAGTACATGGGGAGAAGGTTCTTCTTACGTGCCCTTGGAAGCTGGTCAGCTTGCTAAGCTTCCATCTTGTGCGGTTCTTTTACCCAGCTGTGGGCTGCGGTTTGGGGCTCCGAGCGATGGCAAGAGGATGCAAGAGCCTCCGTTTATCCTCGCTGCTAAACCTGCTGGCCTGAGTCCCCTTGCTAGCGGTGGCCTCGCTTGGAGCATCGGGGCCAAGCACATTGCCGCTCCATTTTTGGGGTGCATGTCATGAACTGAGTCCGATATTTCGTGCGCCGTTCACTGTCAGTCGTGCTCTCATGCCACCTTCGCCTGATTGAAGCTTTCAGCGGGCGATGATCACAAGGTTGTCGTTTCCCAAGCCCATTATAAGTTTTGCTACTTTCGTTTGATCCATAGCTTCCGTTCTTGTGCCAAGCGGCTGATTTTGTCTTGGTGCTCACGTTAGCTGCGGTTGGATTACCCGCGACGGGGGTGTCCGGGGGGGAGGGGGGGTGGTTCTCAGCCGGCTCATAGCTGTCATGGTGCATGCTTATGCCGACTTATGCCATATGCAGTGCCGGACATGGCACAGATGCGACAGCGGCATGCAACATCGTCGCTATTGGGTGTCGCTAAAAAAAATGCCAGTGGATGGTCTCACCGTTTTGATCAGGCTTTTGGCTTTGCTTGCCGTGCCGTTCAACGTCGGGCTTCGGCCTTCTCTTGCAATGATACATGTGCGGCGATTGCATGGGGTTTTGTCTATGATTTGGCTCCTGAGGTTGAGGTCTTAAGTGTCGCTGATCCTGTGGATTGCCGGCTTGATGCCGGCCTTGGTTGTGTCTCAATGGATGAGCTTCATGAGGACACTCAGATTGCTGGTGGTGTCCAAGTTTCTGTACATGGGTGGCATGCACGACTTTGGGGATGTTTTCCTCCTTCAGCTCCGCTACCCTTGGTGGTCGCCCTGAAAAAGGCATCATGTCTTCTACTTGCGATGCTTCATGGGCTTTGTGATCTTTTAGCCGCTCTCCATGGAGCTGCTTTGCACGCTGCTTTGCATTTTCATTGTGTCGAGCCTACGTGGATGCATTACTGCCGTTTCACACCGCCGTGCGCTGGTGCCTCCGAAATGTTGTCGTATGCGATGATTCCGACGGCCCGCCAGTTTAGACTTCGCATGATGATCTACATTCAAGCTTGTTACTCTCAAGCCAGCAATCTCAACACCCAGGTGCTTTGTCGTATGCGCAGCGACCGTTTTTCAGACTGAAGTGTAGGCGGCAGCGAAGCAAGCTGCAATCCAGAAGATTTGTGATGTCTATGAAGCCTGGAGCACGACATGTTCGTGGGGCAAGCGACCTTGACAATTGCCGAAGTGGCAGACGTGCCCAGTCGCCAGAAAGGCGCATGCATGCAGAATGAAGGCTACGGCTAAGGTTACAAGTGCCTGATTTGTTTATACGAGACGAGATCGAACACCACTGGCAATAAATTGAGAACACGTTGTGTGTGATGGTTTCCGTTTTGTCGAAATACGAAGCGCTTCGTGTTGAAGTCGCAGCTGAAGGAACGGCCCAACAACTGTGCGGCCTCTTTGCTAGGTCTTTCGGCACAAGCCTTCGTTTGCGCTTCTTTCAATCGCCCCGCATCATTTCATCATGGCCGAGGCCGAGGCTGTGTACCGCTACGAGTCCGGAAACATCGCGCATGCTCCCAAGAAGGATTACGGTCCCTTAGACTTCACTGGAAAGCTGGCGGGGGGCTTGCGACTCGACATCCGCAGGCGAGCACCGCTGTACTGCAGTGATTGGACAGATGCCTTCAGACCGGAGAACTTCCAGAAATCGGTATCGTCCATCTTGTATTTGTTCTTTCGTCTTGCAGAATGCAGAATTTTTTTAAAGATTCTAAAATGCTGTTATTCTAGAAGTTTAGGGTATCTCCTTGGCCAACTGTTCCAGTAAGGTTCATCGCAGCCCTTGCCCCTGCGATTACGTTCGGCAGTCGGTTCCTTGACGGCACGAACGGCCAGTTCGGAGTGATGGAAATGATCATGAGTACATGTATCAGCGGTTTGATCTTCTCGACTTTTTCCGGTCAGCCCCTCTCGATTCTTGGAGCCACCGGTCCGTTCTTGGCCTACACGCTTGTCGTCTATGATCTGGCAGTTGCCGTGGACGTGGAGTTCATGCCATTTTACTTCTGGACATGCATGTGGTGCTCCCTCTTCACTGTCTTGGTGGCGGTCTTCGACTTGTGTGCGCTCATGAAGCACGTCACTATGTTCAGTGAAGACATCTTCGCTGGATTCTAGGCCTTAGGTTGTTCAGTGATAAATTGTTGTTGTTTTTTGTTTGTGAGTTTTGATTTCAATAGAATTAACCTGAATTGAGCAGCGAAGGATTGATCTCGCTCATCTTTATCATCGATGGAGCCCGGCCGAT